AAAAATATTATGAAAAATAAAACTTAAATTTTTTTTTCTTTTTTCTTTTTTTCTTTTTTTCTTTTTCTTTCTCCTTTCCCTTTCCCTCTCTCTTTCTCCTTCCCCTTTCTCTTCCTCCTTCCCCTCGGAACCCAGTAGGCTTGGGTTCCTTCAAACCCACCCAGGCGTTGGGTTCGCCTGGGTTCGTCGCCTGGACCTGGGTTTGTCGAACCCAGGGCTAGGTTCGACGAACCTGGTGCTGGGTTCGACGAACCCAGGCGATCTGGGTCCGTCGAACCCATGTGTTGGGTTCGTTGAACCCAGCTAGGTTCGAAGGAACCCATCGCCTGGGTTCGACGATCCCAAGCTCTGGGTTCCTTCAAACCCAGTGCTGGGTTCAATCGAACCCAGGCACTGGGTTTCTTCTCGAACCCAGGCGCCTGGGTTTCGTTTGCACCCAGGCGTTGGGTCTATTCTTGAATCCCGGCACTGGGTTCCTTCGAGAACCCAAGAGCTGGGTTCGTTCGAATCCAGGGACAAAAAAATTTATTTATTTATTTATTTATTTTTTTGTGGATTTGGTTGTTTGATTAAGATGAAGAATTGTTGGGTTTGATATTGAATTGATTGTTTGATTGAATTGATTGTGTGAATGAAGGATATTGAATTGATTATTTGATTGAATTGATTGTGTGAATGAAGGAAGATTCGAGAAAGAAGATGCTGGAGGAAGAAGATGTTGGAGGAAGAAGATGATGCAAAATTGTAATTTGGTGGGCCCCACTTTTGTTTTTGTGTTGGGTATGACCATGTCATCATTTATCCAGGTGTACACTGACGTGGCTTAAATTTTGGATATATCTGTGAGTTAACGGACGATTTTTAACGGAAGGACCAAATCGGGATAAAAATGGTAAATAGTAGGGATCAAATCAGGGATTTTTTTAGTTTAGGGACCAAATCGGGGGGTTCGTACAATAGTTCAAGAACCAAAAAAGGGTTTTAACCAAAATTTTATGTTCAAATAGTTCTCATCTATATCTTCTATTATTCTATATACATTAGATCAAAAAAAGAAAAAAAAAAGGGTAAAAAAAATTTTAGAAATGAAATAGTTCACATCTATATTTTCTATTATTCTATCCATTAATTCTGAGACGTGTTCATTTTGCCTCCAAGTTGTCCCTCAACCTTCACAACCCACATGCAAGCAATGCAGGGGTCACATGCAAATTCCAAGGCAGCCAAAACAAAGACCACGAAGTCCACATTTTTTTTCTAATGATCGAGATGTGTATAATAAGACAAAATTTCAAATGAAAATATGCATTCGAACTTACCATTCTTGTGTTGAAATCTTCAAGGGCAAAGAGGCAGGCTGGTCTATCCACAATCTCATTGCAGGGACACCTTCATCCACCTTTGTTTCCCCTTGGACCACGGAAAAATGGTCAAATGTAATGTTTAGTATATTAACCATTAGTTTATTACCATTTTGGTTTAGAAAGTTTATTTCTCTTTCAATTGGTTTAGATACTTCAAAAAATGTATCAAAATGGCATATATGCAACAATTCCCTTATATTTTCTAATAAAAACCCCTTACTGACTACTTAGTTCCACGCACACCCTTCTTAACTAAATGAAAACATTTTAATCCATAATCAACTTTTTGTTATTGCTTCTTTTAACTCTCTTTTTTTTGTTTTTTTTTTTTCATTTTAACGAGTTGATAATATCCTTTTAATTTTCTAATTATTGTTTCTGATCATTAAAATATAATTAGGTAGCACGACATAGTACTTAGATAATTACATGGAATTAAAAAAAAAAAAAGTACCAAAACTTTTATAGATAAATTATTTTGATACGGTTATTTGAAGTTTTTATATCAATTTTTTTATAAAAAAAAAAAAAAATTACCAAACGTTAGTGCCATGTTAGCATTGTCATTAATGGACGTTAAAGGAGGGACTGTGGTCAGCCTCCTCACCAAAGTTCAGCGATTATTAAAAATTTTAGATGTTTTTTATATTATGAGTTAGCTACACTTACTTTTGAGATTTTCTATGCTATATATTTTTTTTTCTTTTCATTTTTTTTTTGGCATTTGCACTTGTCCCTGTGGTTTTAGGTGATAGCAATTTGCCCCAACAATTATGAAAACGTTCATTTGAACTCCCTTTCTGTTCTCTCCGTTAAGCATAAACATAACAAGGAAACCTATTTTGGTAGATTTCTTAAATTTTTTTTTATTAACCTCGTGATATCGATAACCACATTAAATTTTAACTAATTTAGAATTGACTCGCTTCAGACCCCATTAGGAAAAGTTTCTCCAACACTTATTTCTCCATTTATAAAACTTAAATTCAAGATTTTATTTAAAAAGAATCAAACATTTTCAATTAAAATTTTACCATATGAATAAAAGTATTTTCCGACCCTAACAGAAAGCCCTTTTTTTTTTCCCGCCAAATTATCACTGCAGTCTTCTTGGTGAATGTTAGCTACCCGTACGTTCATGCTAGCTACCCGTACGTTCATGCAATCTCCGGCGATTTCCCTCCCTCCCTTATCCCCTCAAGCTTCTCTTTCCTCTATCTTCCTCTTTCTTTCTCCCCTCTGAACACTCCTCTTTTCTCAACTACCCCCTCTCAATTCTCCGCTTAAACCTTAGCTCAAACATGTCGTCTCGCCCTTCCGCGTTCGACATTCTCATGTCCAACGCCCTCTCCGCATCCAAGAAAAGCCCCTCCTCTTTCTCATACAGAAAGAAGTGTGGAAGAGTCTTGATTCGACCCCTGCCTAAACCCCTAACCCTAGCAACACCCTGAATTCTGCTGAACCCCGGCCCCATCGGGACCGATTCTGTTGAGGCCAAGAAAGGGCAAGAGACCGGTAATGGTGTTGAAAATCCCAGAAAAGATTTCCAGACTGAAATGGCTTCCGATTTGAAAGAGACCCAGAAGCCCCAAGATTCCAAAAGAATGAAGATCGGGGGGTGCCACTGAGAGAAATGCGAAGCTGAAGGAAAACATCCAACTGCTGAAGAAGAAGTCTGCTAGTTTTGATCCCCAAACGGTGGCGTGTTGGGAGAAGGGATATAGAGTGCCCTTCTTGTTTCTTTTGTGATTACAGATATTGTTTGCAATATGTTCAGGACTGTCATTGAAACAACGCCTGAGGATTTGTTATCCGTAATATACTAGGCAGCAGATAGGATTACTGCGGCCCATGAAGGATTAGAACTGGGAATTGGGGATGCTTCCATTATCAAGGCGCTAGCAGAGGCGTTTGGGAGAACGGAGGCACTGGTTAAGAACCAGTTCAAGGTATTATATAATTATCTGGTAGATAGAGTTTTATTCATTCTTAATTTGATCAGGAATCACTAGTTTTCAGGTTTTAATTGGAAAATGTATTGGAATGCACTGGCAATTTCATTGCTTTTTTGGCAGGAAAAAGGAGATCTCGGTCTTGTTGCACAAACAAGTCGTTCATCTCAGTCTATGATGCGCAAACCTGATCCATTAACAGTTGCCAAAGTTTTTTACGCTTTTCGGCTTATTGCTAAGGTGCATATTATTTTGGATAGAGCAAATTAAATTTGAAACTTGAATTGGCTTTTTAAGTTATTCTTACTCATATCCTAGATTGTGAGGTAGGATGTTTCATATTATCTGCTTTTAGTAATTGACTTACCCTTATTGTTTACTCAACCTTATTAGGAATCTGGAAAGGATAGTCAGGAGAAGAAAAGGAATTGTATCAAGTCACTTCTTGTTGCAGCCACTGACTGTGAACCTCAATATCTAACCTGTCTTCTTCAGGTTGTAATTTCAACGTTTACTAAATACTGGTTTATTTGCTCCTTTCTCCTGTTATAAGCGTTGTGTGGATTCATCTTGGAGGCAAAATTGCCGATTGGATTGGCAGAACAGACTTTACTGGCTTCATTAGGACAAGCTGCAGTATACAATGAACAACATCCTAGTCCCCCCCCCCCCCCCTCCAAACATACAGTCTCCGTTGGAAGAGGTGAGTGTGTAAGATGTTACCATCCTGTTATAAATTGTTCTACTGTGATGACAACATGGGGACAATTTTAAAAAAGACATCCATTCTTTTCTTGCTTATTTGATTCACTGACAGTCGGGTGTTTTGTAACAAGGATCTTGTTGTTGTCTTAAGAAGAAATTTTCTTAGCTGATGTTTAATCTCTTCCAATAAAATTATAAGATACCATTCCTTGTATTTGTGAAATAGTATAAATTTTGGCAATGTCTGCTGTCAAAGTTGTAGCACCTTGTTTGTGGTCACCAAGATTGGAGATTCTTATTCTCTGATTGATTTTTAACGGATCAAAGATGGGGCAGAACCTTCCCAAAATCTGTGGTGTACTTTAACAACCCTGTTAGAACTGATCTTTGAGAGTTCTCATGCAGGCTACTAAGATTGTTAAGCAAGTCTATTCAGTCCTACCAGTGTAGGATACAATATTCCCTGCTCTTCTGAAGGATGGCATGTGGGATATTCCAAAGACATGTTGCTTTACACTGGGTGTCCGTATTGAACCTATGCTAACAAAACCAACCAAAGGAGTTGGGGAAATTGTAAATAAATTCCCAGATATTAAATTTGTATGTGACTACAAATATGACAGAGAACGTGCACAGGTGTTATGCTAATCTTTGCTACTTTTGTGTCTTTATTACTGCCAATTGCTGTTTATCATCTCACATAAAAATTTACCTGTTGGATGCAGGTTCATTACATGGATAATGATTCGGTTGAGATATACAGTTGGGATGCTGAGCAGAACACTGAAGAGTTCCCTGATGTTGTTGCTGCAGTTGCAAGGTATATTTCTTTTGGTTTAGTGACTCTGTCTTGCATAATATTTGCATATTCTTCTATGTGGTTTCTATACGTGGATAATGGAGATACATTTCCTATGCATGATATTTACAGTCTCTTGAACTATCCTCATGTACTTGCTACTCTTAAAACTTCTGTTCAACCCTTTTTAAGAGCTTTTGCATTTCTATTTCACCAGCGTACAAACTGGGCATTTTTTTATTCTTTTGTTTTTGCTGAAATTTGTTCTATCATGCAGATTGAAGAAATCTCATGTAAAATCTTTTGTTTTGGATTGTGAGCTTGTTGCTAGTGACTGAGAAAAAGGGAAAATTTTGCTCTTCCAGGTAATATGTTGCAAAGCAACTTCTTTGAAGATCTCCGCACACATGCATAAAAAGTGAAATGCCGAGTTTCTTGTATGGTTATGTGTAATGGAATTCTCCAGATTTCTCAAATGTTTGTCTTGATGTATATTTTGAAGCCAAGGCTTCGCTTTATCATAGTATATGGCCTTGCTCTATATTCTTGTTTTCTCCTTTATACAGTGCTTTGGAACACCTGTTTAGTAGTTAAGACCTAAGGTTCTTGACTTGAGATGTTTGAAATTTTTATTTGGTTAATTTTTGTTGCAGGTGCTTGGCAAAAGACCTCGCAAAATGTGGATGTGAAGGACATCAAAGTTGACGTATGCACATTTACTTTTGATGTCTTGTATCTTAATGGGCAACCACTTATTTTGGAACAACTAAACGTTCATAAAGAGGTATTTCTTCCTCTGCAGTATTTTGCCCCAAACTCTACGGTGAAAGAAAAGAATGTATTTTAAGGATGTGACTGGTGATTCCGTTACTATGACCTGCATCTTTTATGGTTCTCTTTCAATTGTTATATGATGCACTTAAGCTGATATTGGTTGTGTCTGTTTGACTCCTTGCAGTGGCCTCATGACTCGTTTGAGGAGGAACCTCGGTTTTTTCAGTTTGCAGTTACACTGAAGTCAAATGATATTGAGGAAATACAAAAATTTCTTGATGCAGCTGTTTCTGCAAGGTACTTATTTCATAGTTTAGTACATTTCTTGAGAACTGTAGCTTTATACAGCATTAAACTCTAATGGTTTGTTTGCAGTTGTGAAGGTTTAATCATCAAAACATTGGACAGAGATGCTACATAGGAGCCATTGAAGTGGTCCCTTAACTGGCTAAAATTGAAGAAAGATTACATGGATAAGTGAGTTGTAAAAGGTTATTGCCTGCTGAGCAAAATATGATAGTAGTATTTACCTTTTCAAAAACAATAATGGTCCTGACCATCCTGTGCAGTATTGGAGACACCTTTGATTTAGTACCTTTTGCTGCTTTCCATGGCCATGGGAAATGGACAGGTAAGTTGCAACCTAGTTTTCTCTCTGTATATAAACCATTTTTCTCTTCTCAATTCCTCACTTTGAGAACCTTCTTTGTTTTGATGATGCCATAACTATGTTCTGTTTTTAGGTGTTTATGGTGCCTTTCTATTGGCATGTTATGATTGTAATAATGAAGAATTCCAGAGCATTTGTAAAATAGGTGAGAAAATTTTGATGTTGTTGTTCAACATCTCAAGTCTTTTCCAATCGAACTGACCCCTCCATATCTTCTTTATGATGCTCAATAGGCTCTGGATTTTCTGAAGCAAAGCTAGAAGAACTTTCTGCTAGTCTCCACTCTAGAGTGATTCCTAAACCAAAGGTTTGTTTCTCTTGCTATTTCTTCCAATGGCTGATGAAATTTTGTGAATATAGAATGTCACATGACTGACTTGCTTGCTAATTGAGCCCCTTTTTCTTTTTTCTTCTTTTTTTTATGATAGCCGTCCTACGTTTTTGGAGAAACACTTGATCCCGATGTATGGTTTGAGCCATCTGAGGTAAGATCATTGATTTTGTTTATAAAATGTAGTTGAGTAGGCTACACCCTACACGCCTGCTGCTTGTGCTCTGTCTTGATGGGATTTTCTTTCTTTTTTCCCCTACTCATTGACGTCACGTAAAGTAGTAAAAAGACTAAATTTAACTTACAGGTTTGCGAGGTAAAAGCTGCTGACTTGACCATTAGCCCCTGTTCATCTTGCAACAGTTGGGGCCATGGATCCTGTTAAGGTTGCACAAATTTTGCCATGCACTTGAGTTCTTGCAATTTCTTTTTCTCGGTTTCTTTAATCCAGCAATTGGGTTGTGGATCTAGATCCTTTCAGTTGTTATCATCCCTTAACTGTTCTTTATGCTGCATTCTTGCTGCATATAGAGTGAAATAAAGTCAAGTATATATAATCTGTATTGGATTCATCTTACTTTCTATGTTGGTCTTGTTAAAAAAAAAGGGCATATATCTCCAATTTCCCCGTCTCATTCGTGTTCGAAGAGACAAGACACCAAAGAAAGCTACATCATCTGAGCAGGTGAAGTGCATTGGAGTTGTCCAATCTAATGATTCATTCACATGATTAACAAATCAAATGAAGAAGTTATTTTCAGGATTAGCAAGACTGAAAATTAACATTTTCTCAATCCACATTCGCAGGTTGCTGATATGAATAAAAAATCAACAGCACAATGGAAGACTGAAGAACACGTTTGTGTACATTGTTGATACTTGATGGGAACACATGGCATGTGAGTGGATACCCTAATCAACGGCACATGAGGAGTTGGAACTTAATGGAAGGTGTGCAGTAAGACAAATAGTCGTTCAAACTTGTTCTTCCAGCTCAAGGCGACTGTGATGATTGTTATGAGTCAAATCACGGTGGCACAGACATGGACCGCAAGAGGCGGGTCTTTTCTAGCGGCTTATTTGTTGCTTTCTCAACCTCTGCCGTGTAGATTAGAAACAACAGCTGGATTAACCTCCGACCAAAGTGCTTTTGATTCCATTCTAATACTAGTATTGAAATTGCTTTGAAAATTCAAAGATTTTTCATCGCAATCTCAACTTTCCTCCCTTCTCATTTTTCAATTCACAATTCTCCCTTTTCCTTTGAAAATATGATCAATTACAGTTTGATCCCATTTTATATTCAATCCTAAGGGTGTAACCAAACCAAACCAAACCAAGTGGTCTGATTAAGGGTGCGTTTTGTTTAATTTTTTAAGTGCTTCAGTTTTTTGACACTATTTATATTTCATAAAATTTTCTCTTAAAATTTTACAATTTTAAATATTTTTTTAATCTTAAAAAATC